AGGACCAGATTTTTACTGCCCTTTACTTCGCATATCCATCATCATCATTATCGTACAACAAAATACCGTGAAGCGAACTTCACTGACCGCTGCCAAACTCACAATGCATACAAGGTTAGTGGTAAAATCTAAGGTGGACAGGGATTGGACCTACTTTGAGGGAGGGAGAAGAAGATGAGCTACTATGGTCAACACACAGTACGCAATCGAACTCTGCATACATACCGTTTCAAGCATTCTGACCTGATAAGAAACGACAACAAGAACGCCACTGTTGTCGTTCAGTTGCCATATCCTTCAGCGTCTCCAACCAACCAGTTGTGGAGTCTTTCGGACTCCAACCTGGAAGGCGAGAGACATCTACTCTATCTGGTGGCTCTGTGCATTTCTTCATGCCTCGTCTCCACGTCATCTGTTGACTTCCGCGTGGTTTCCTCCAGCCCGGATTAGCTACAGCGAATAAAGCGCGGTGCGGCAGACGATGGCTGGGCATACGCAATACGTGCCCTAGCCACCGAAGCCTAGTAATCTGAATTCGGTATGCTAGCAGGTTTATGCCTGACAGACTCCCAAACACACGACGGCTTACCTCCACGTTACTAACCCGTTCGCTACATCCAACATGAGCTAAACTGCGTAAACACCGATAATCGAAAACTTCTAGTCGACGGATATCTTCTACTCGCAAATTTGAGGTCTCAACCATAAGGCAGGACTGAACGCACGCTAGCACAATATGCACGACCTTTCCACTTCAGTGAAACGTCGCGTCTACGCCAAAGGTGTTTAAGTCCTGCATATGCTGTTTGAGCCTTGGAAATGCGGACGGTTATCTCCTTTGCTGCACTACCGTCATTGGTCACGCAACTACCTAAGTAGGAAAAGTAATCTACCACAACTAAATCCTGGCCATTTAGTGTCAGAGTGGGAGTAGGCGAAACCCAGTCCTGCAGCAGCACTTGGTGCTTTGAAGGTGCAAAGCACATACGGAATGTGGCCACTGCACTTGTTAATCTACCAAGTGCACTTTGCGCGTCCTCCATACATTCGAACAGACAGACGATATCATCGGCGTACTCCAAATCGCACAGCTTTTCTCCAGCTGTCTGTTCAATACCTACATTTTGGAGTCCCCTTAGTGCGCTCTCCAGTATTTCGTCTACTACGAAATTGAACAGGAACAGCGAAAGAGGCTCCTTTCAGGTCAAGGAATACTGCGATCGTTGGTCGACGGTGAGTATGACGCAGCTCAAGGATCTGACGCAACGTAAAAATCTGATCAATACATCCACGGCCAGGCCGGAATCCGGCTTGCTGTTCACGGATGTTGGTCTCTCTTCTGTACGACGCGCTTCTTTACACCCAAGCTCTTTCTCCTTTTATAAAAATCTCAAATCCGCCGGATGCTTCCGCTTTTGCTCTCGTTGACCGTGTTCAACTTAAGACCATCTGATTGATAGTCTTTAACTTTCAACTTCTAGTCGCTTTTCCATCACCGGGCAGTTGCTTCTTTATCTTTTTTATCATTACTATTTTGGTTTCTTCTCTTCTGAACTCGCTTCGATGGTTGTCCTCCCGTTGAATTTTCCTCCTTCTCAAGCGGGTAGGCGTCTTCATCAGGTTTTTGTCTCCAGATGTCAAACTTGCATCATCCAATCTTCAATTTTTGCGCAAGAATGCGAAATTGTATAACACTCTTCCCATCTCAGTATTTCCAAATACTTAAGATCTTATTTTCAAAAGCAGGATTAACAAATTGGTGCTTATTTAAATACCTTCCCCTACATTTTGTCATCGACTATGGGATCTATCCCTTTTACAGTAAATCAAATAGCCTGATGAAAAGATGCAGAATTTCAGATAGTTGCGGTCGCTCACTGGAATAGGTACTAAACAGCAATGAATTACTTCGTGTAGGGCATATGTTACACATGTCGACAAGTAGAGCCATGGGGTGCAATTTCCCTGAGGCAGGTAGTAGGTAAAAAATTAAGACCAGGTATGAGCGTATGAAAGCGCCAACAAAGAGACTCGGTCATATGCGTCGCGTTAGACTTCCTAGACAGGATCAGTGTAATCGATGGGTAGAGAAACTGAGTGAAAGCGGTCGACAGGGTCGAAAGCCGCTCTCAGATCGAGATGGTAGGTCTACGCAAAGAATGTCGGTGCCGACCAATCAGAAAACCCTCGTTTTTGACGAAATCCTAGCTGAAAGACAACAATCGAATTTGCATGTATTTCGAAGCATCGGTTGCTATTCGCTGACCAAAATGACTGACGGAGGGGACGGGCAAGCAAACATTTCCTAAACAATTATGCATCAAAGTAAAACGAAACACATTCTACTGTTCGTAACTCGAATTACCATCCTGACAAAAAANAAAAAACTTCGACTGACACTTCTTTTAGTATGTACACCACCACAGCCGTGAAAACTCAGTGATTCAATTGCGCTTTCTGATACAGACCGCTGACTATAATAGAACGCCTTGTTAAAGTGATGCGTAGGTCCAAAGTGATTTCACATACTGACGAAGCACACAATAAGTATCTGTAGAACAATAGCAATACTAAAACCATTCACAGATCTGACCTAAAATGGGAGCTGTATTTATACAAAGTCTATATACAAAGGTCGAAACTAATTCAAGCGATGCTCTTCTCGGTTTTACTTGACCTCAAACTGTTTCCATCGGTCAGGCCATCAATCACTGGTAGCTGAGGTTCTTGTCCGGGCCATGGCCTTGCTCTTCCAATGTGTGACGAACAAGGTACCTGTCCGTAAACTTCGCAAATGCATTGGCGTTTGTGTCTACGAAGAGTCGGAAAGTAGCAATAAAACAAGGTGCTGTACAAAACAGACTCACTTGGTCCCAAAATTTGCCGGGTTATCAATTGATAGAAGATCGGTGGAAGGAGATGCGGTACCGTGCAGGGAGGTGCCCAAAACTGCATTCAAATGAGAGTTAATGTCTGTATGTGAACGAAAGGAGCAGTCAATGACAAGTTCCTCCTCATTGTTGAGAAACACTTGTATAAACGGAGTTGGGCACATGTTCTTTAGAGTGAGGATCTGCACATTGGGATTCTTGAACTGCAATGGAGGTAGGAACCATCTGATCAATTCATTACATCCTTCGGAGATTTTCTTTCCAGGAACATGATGAATGGCAATAACTTTCACGCTATCTTGCAATATAATTCGACCAGACTCGAGATACTTCCTGGTGCGAGTGACTGCTAATCTTCCACCTTTCAGAAACGGCATTGGATGGCGAAGGAATGGATCACCTGAAAACAAAACTATATGCCGTAAGCCTGTGGAAACTACTGCATCTCAAAGCAAGCAAAGATGGCCGTCCGGGCCATCTTCAACTTGTTGAGCATTTGTTTGGTTCGAGGTGATCAACTATAATCTCTGATTGTATCAAATTAGGTCAACGAAACATCCGTATCTATGTCAGTTACAGTACATTCGGGGAGAGAAACTGAATGAAAATCTTTGAAAAGATGCATACACTGGAGGAGGCTTTTGAAAATTCCAGAAACCGTCTAACCTTCGAATTATCCTGAATCCAACCAATCTGACCTTAGTCTTGACACGTTCTCGCCAACCTCTGATGTAGAGGACCAACCCACCACTGGATCTCAAGACTGACCTGTCAGTACGAAACATGCTGTATCCTGAGAGCGAAATTTCAGCTTCGGACACCTCGTGATGAAGCCACGTCTCTGTTAGGACTATCATCACTGGGGCATGATCGGCAACTCACGCTTCCAGTTCATCCCACTTATTCAGCATCCCCGTCACATTTGAGAACAAAAAGGAACTCCCACCCCCAAAAGATTCTTTTTTCTGGTTCGTAGCCTGCCGCGCATTTCATACGGCTTGGGGGTAGTAAACATAAATTGAGATCATTTTGCTGGATAGGTCCACACGGGTAATGTGCCCCGTAATTTAAGTGTAACCACCCGTCACAATCATCGCAACGGAACGTTTTCAGGTCGGGTCAGGTCTCAGGACGTGCTGCTGATGCCAGGTACCGTCCAGTTTCTTGCACTGATGAGCTGCGATCGTCTTCTCACAGTGCTTCGACAGCGTTTCGTATGTATTCGTTGTCGTTCTTCGTCTACGAAAGCGTAAGGGTGGCAGTCCGTATACTCTGACAGGAAGACCAATCATTCGGAGTTGTGCAGGTTTACGCCGCTTACCCGCCATCGCACACTCCCCCTCGTGGTCGATCTATCCAGCAGGGTCACGGGCAGGTCAAAAGAATAGGGGGTGCTCCAGTTTAAAATCAAAAGTAGAGCACTTTTAAAGTGTGCGGTTTCAAGAGTAAATGGAATAACGCAGGACGAAAAGGAACAAAAAGGAGATATGTAGTCTGAGGGCACTCCTGAGGATGTAGGTCCTCCGGGAACAATTCCAACAATGGTCGAGTCGGAGCTTGAAGACGGCAACTGATTCTGCCGCTACCACCTCCGTAAGTAGCTTGTTCCAGGCGTTAATCACCCTGCACGAGAAAAATTATACTCTGGCGGTCGTAATCGCTCTGGGTTTGTCAAGCTTCCATGCGTACCCTCTCAGCGCTGTGTTCTCACTAAGGCTAAAAAGAGGTTTATCCGTTGTCGTGAAGCTCTTTATCAATTTAAAGGTCTCTATTAGATCCTTTCATCCTCCGTTTCAGGGAGAACAGCTTCAGCCTCCGAAGCCTCTTGTCACAGCTCAGGTTTCTAAGTCCTACGACGAGTTTAGTGAAACGGCTATGTATACCCTCTAGTAGTTGAGTGTTTCGAACCAGCGCTGGTGCCCATGCCTGGATGCAATACTCCAGGTGAGATCTCACAAAGGCCTTGTATAAAGGCACTATTACTCTGGCCTCCCTTGAAGCGACTGTGCGCAGCAGTTGGTACAGACCTCGGTTGGCCTTGGTGGCCGAAACCCGGTATTGCTCGGATGGCCTGAAGTGCTGAGTAACTAGGACTCCTGGGTCCTTGACTTCTTCTACTTGTGGGACTAGTTTGGGGTTCTCCGAATTTAGATGGCGGTTCACCGTGCGTTCCTTAAGGGATTGCACTTATCTGGGTTTGTTGGGAGCTCCCACTCAGTCGCCCATTTGTATATCCTACTTAGGTCTTCCCGCATTTTGTTACCTTCCGACCTACCTACTAGTTTGAGATAATCTGCAAAGATGAATGCCGGAGATGCAACGTCGCCAATCACGTCATTAACGTAGCTCAAGAACAGAAGCGGACCCATAACTGAACCCTGTGGCACCCCGCTGGAGACCACCTGCTTGTGTAGATCTCTCTTCATCCGCCTTAACGTAAAAGGATCGGTTACTTAAGTAGACAGCAGTCCATTGTAGGATCCCTTTGTTTATTTTGAGCGCTCTCATCTTAGCTAGGAAGTAACGTTGGATAACTGAATCGAAGGCCTTTTGGAAGTCCATGTAACACACCTCAATTGTTTCACCCCGATCAATTCTGCCCGTGACTTCATCAAGGAAGGACAAAGGATATGAGACAGACATCCTTTTCGTGAACCCGTGCTGGCACGCAGCAAGTAGACCATGTTCTGCTACATGTGAGCTCAGTCGATACCGAAGTACATTCTCCAGGACCTTGAGTGGTAGGAAAAGTAGACTTACTGGGGCGGTAGTTTGATGCCTCTTCCTTGGTACCTCCTTTGTGGATCGGGATAACTTCGGCCTGTTTCCAGTCTGATGGTAGCGTTGCTGTAGTGATTGACCGGTGGAAAAGCCGGGCCAATGGTTCGGCAACTATCCCTGCAATGGGTTTCAATATTGCTGGATATGTACCGTCTGGACCGGCAGCCTTTCCGCTGTTTAGTGCGCCCAGGATTTTCTCTACCTCCAGTCTGGTGATAGGCGGGTTTGCCATCTGTGGTACATCGGCCGGTACTAGGGTGAGGACCTCTCTACCCCTGTCTCTCTGGTAAACCCTCTCAAAGGCTACCCGGAGTGCCTCGGTCTTTTCATTGCTACTTATAGCAAGCCCATCATTCGCAATCACTAAGTTTCTAACGGACGCTCTCGTAGCGGCCTTTGACTGGACGTAGTTGTAGTAAGCTGTGGGGCACTGTTTGGTTCTATCGGCCAGGCCCATTTCATACTTACGGCGGCAGTTGCTCTGGGCCCTCAAAGCAACCTCACGGGCCCTAAGGTATTGGAGGAATCCTGAGTGGCTCCTTGAGTTTCTATAGCTATTCCAGACTCTATGTTTCTTGGATTGTGCTCTCCTGGCCCGGGTTTTCCACCACGGTTGAATTGATTGTCTCCTAATCCTGCGCAGTGAAGCAAAACGTTCGGTGAGGTGTAAAACATTTGCTTCAAAGCCCCCCCCCATTCCTCTTCTATCGTCTCGTATTCTCCTTGCCACTCTCCGTTTAAGGCTGGCTCTACTACGGCCTCACGGTCGATGCATCTAAACACTCGACACATCTTGTGGGGCGCTTTGGGCACGTTGAGTACGTATCGGAAGTGGATCACCCGTGGTCACTCCTAACCAGCGGTGGCTCAATCGTGAGTTGCTCCACCACGTACGGGTATCGTGTGAATAGGAGGTCCAGCAGTCATCATCATCATCGTACGGCGAAATACCGTGAAGCGAACTTCACTGACCGCTGCCAAACTCACAATGCATACAAGGTTAGTGGTAAAATCTAAGGTGGACAGGGATTGGACCTACTTTGAGGGAGGGAGAAGAAGATGAGCTACTATGGTCAACACACAGTACGCAATCGAACTCTGCATACATACCGTTTCAGGCATTCTGACCTGATAAGAAACGACAACAAGAACGCCACTGTTGTCGTTCAGTTGCCATATCCTTCAGCGTCTCCAACCAACCAGTTGTGGAGTCTTTCGGACTCCAACCTGGAAGGCGAGAGACATCT